TCCTGGGTAAATGCATCTTTCTCCTACCTCCACTCTTAACCCAAAAACGCATTGACTCCTGCTGCTTCCCTCCTGGGTAAATGCATCTTTCTCCTACCTCCACTCTTAACCCAAAAACGCATTGACTCCTGCTGCTTCCCTCCTGGGTAAATGCATCTTTCTCCTACCTCCACTCTTAACCCAAAAACGCATTGACTCCTGCTGCTTCCCTCCTGGGTAAATGCATCTTTCTCCTACCTCCACTCTTAACCCAAAAACGCATTGACTCCTGCTGCTTCCCTCCTGGGTAAATGCATCTTTCTCCTACCTCCACTCATAACCCAAAAACGCATTGACTCCTGCTGCTTCCCTCCTGGGTAAATGCATCTTTCTCCTACCTCCACTCTTATCCCAAAAACGCATTGACTCCTGCTGCTTCCCTCCTGGGTAAATGCATCTTTCTCCTACCTCCACTCTTAACCCAAAAACGCATTGACTCCTGCTGCTGCCCTCCTGGGTAAATGCATCTTTCTCCTACCTCCACTCTTAACCCAAAAACGCATTGACTCCTGCTGCTGCCCTCCCTGGGTAAATGCATCTTTCTCCTACCTCCACTCTTAACCCAAAAACGCATTGACTCCTGCTATATTCAGAACAAATGGTGTATTTATATTTGTGTATATGTTGACCAGTCCTCACCTTTAGCTGCACCCAGTTTATGACTATAGTCTGTTTCCTGAGAAACATCCCCCACTATTCATGTGAACCTTATCAGCTTCTAATTGGGGTGGAGTTGAATGCTCATTTGAGCATCTCCCTATAAATTTAGATCAGCTCATGGGGGAGATCTCTGATGGGGGGCACAGTCTCTGATGGGGGTGCTGCTTCAGATTGAGTGCTGCTTTGAAAGAGTGCGATGCAGTTAAACACAGCAGTGCTGCTTTGAAAGAGTGCGATACAGTTAAACACAGCAGTGCTGCTTTGAAAGAGTGCGATGCAGTTAAACACAGCAGTGCTGCTTTGAAAGAGTGCGATGCACTTAAACACAGCAGTTGAACTAAAGCAGGAGAACTCAAGCAGCAGGAAGACAACAACAGCACAAAACTCTACTGCACGCTGGACAGACTGCAAGCAAACAACCTGGGAAACCTCTCTTACATACATCTCTTAGGTACATAGAGTCCCACTCTGTGTACCTTTTTATACAATACATCCCCTCTTCTCCTCTTCTTATTACTATGCTCTGTTCCCAAATCTCATTTCTTTACCCCTCTGCTGCACCCCAAAACTTGTACATCTCCCCCTCATTGCTATCATCTCCCTACTATTGCTCGCATCACCTCCCCAAAATGCCTCTTCCACTCCTCGTTCTCATTTTCCTCTCCTCCATTCCCAAAATCCATTCACTATATCCCTCTGCTCCTTCCAAACAATTTTATATTGTGTCCTCACTGCTTCCTTCGCCCCTCTACGGCACCCACCACCTCCTCCCATTACTCTGCTCTCACACTGACCCAAACACCTCCACTAGTAGTTTCTCACGCTCCTGCACATCCCGCTCCCATGCCACCTTTCTCACCCTTCTCCTCCTCCTAGCCGCGGGGGACATCTCCCCGAATCCTGGCCCTCCACCACCTCCCTCACCCGCACAACACCCTCCTGCCGCAACCCCCGCAACTTAGTATCTGTCCCCCTGCTCCCTAACATCTCCCCCCCGTTTTCATGTGCACTCCTGAACGCCCGATCGGTGTGCAACAAGCTTACCGCCATCCACGACCTCTTTGTTTCCCGCTCCCTCAACCTCCTAGCGATCACGGAAACCTGGATCCAGCCCACTGACTCTACCTCCCCTGCTGCACTCTCCTACGGAGGTCTCACCTGGACCCACTCACCCAGGCCCAACGGTCGTAAAGGTGGTGGGGTTGGTCTGCTCCTGTCACCGCAGAGCACCTTCCAAGTCCTCCCAAACCCCCCCTCCCTATCCTTCTCCTACTTCGAGGCCCACTGCGTCAGACTATTCTCCCCAACCCCCCTGAAGATTGCTGTGATATATCGGCCTCCTGGATCCATACCCCGCTTCCTGGATGACTTTTCCTCCTGGCTACCCTTCTTCCTCTCCTCTGAGCTACCCACCATCATCCTTGGGGATTTCAACATCCCTGTCAACCTGGACAACACGGACACAGCCCGTCTCCTCCACTTAACCTCCTCCTTTGCACTTGCACAGTGCATACAATCCACCACCCACTCTAACGGTAATATTCTTGATCTTGTCTTCTCCAACCGCTGCGCTCCCCACAACCTCACTAACACCCCCTTCCCTCTCTCTGACCACAACCTGATTACCTTCTCTATCTACTCGTCCTCCAACGCCTACCCCTCCAAATGTGACACTACTACCAGCCGTAACTTCCGCAACCTTAACCCTGCCCCCCTCCACTCTGCAGCTGATCAACTCCATGACCGCATCCTCCCCTGTCCTGCCCCGACTTGGCCATGACTGCCTACAACAACGCGCTATCAACAGCCCTTGACTCACTAGCGCCTTCAACCACACGCAACATCAGACCTCGACTGCTCCAGACCTGGCAGACTGATCACACCAAAACCCTCAAACGACACAGTCGTGCCCTGGAGCGACTATGGTGCAAAACAAAATCCCAACAAGCCTTCACCCGCTACAAATCTGCCTTCCGCACCTACACCTCCTCCCTCCATGCAGCCAAACAAGCCTGACCCTCATCAAGACCCTCTCCTCCACCAACTCGCCAACTCTTCTCCACCTTCAACTCTCTACTCTCTCTACTCTCTCCACCCCCACCTCCACCCAGCACCTCACTCACCGCCATTGAGATTGCCAATCACTTCAAAAACAAGATTGACACAATTCGCAAGGACATTGCCGCAACTCACATGCCCTCTCAACCCGTCCCCTCTCACACAGCTACCCCCTCATCCCCCCTCCCCCTCGACATAACCTGCAGGGACTTCGTCACTGCTCAAACTTACTCCAACCCCATTCCCCCTCACTCAGCTACCCCCTCATCACCCCTCTCCCACGGCCCCACCACTACTCTGACCTCCACTTCCACCCCACCCTACATTCCTCATACTGAAGCTCCCCCAACACTCCACACCTTTGACCTTACCACCATCGAGGAAGTCTCCAAGATCCTCTCTGATGCTCGCCTCACCACTGCCCCCTTGACCCTATCCCCTCACAACTCCTACGACCTCCCTCCCCCTCCATCCTACGCTCCCTCACCCACATCTTCAATCTCTCCCTCTCCTCAGGCACTTTCCCCTCCCCTCTGAAACATGCACACATCCCCCCATACTTAAAAAGCCCTCCCTGGACCCCAATGACCCGAACAACCTCAGACCCATCTCCCTGCTCCCCTTTACATCTAAACTCCTCGAGCGCCTCGTCTACACCCGCCTATGCTCTCACCTCAACGACAACCACCTCCTCGATCCCCTACAGTCTGGCTTCCGTCCCCTACACTCCACCGAAACCGCCTTACTCAAACTCTCCAATGACCTTCTAACCGCCAAAGCTAATGGCCACTATTCAGTGCTCCTACTCCTTGACCTCTCTGCAGCCTTCGACACAGTCGACCACCCCCCCCCCTCCTCAAAAAACTACACTCCCTCGGCCTCAGAGATTCTGCTCTCTCATGGCTCTCATTCTACCGGTCACAACGCTCTTTCAGCGTTACCTATAATGCTACCACCTCCCCTTCACTCTCCCTCTCTGTTGGGGTCCCTCAAGGCTCTGTCCTTGGGCCCCTTCTCTTCTCCATCTACACCTCCTCCCTAGGCCAACTCATACACTCTCACGACTTCAACTACCACCTCTATGCGGATGACACACAAATCTATCTCTCAACCCCCCACCTCACCCCCTCGGTCTCTGCCCGAATCACACACCTACTGAGCGACATATCAGATTGGATGTTGCTCCACTTCCTTAAACTGAACCTCTCCAAAACCGAGTTTCTTGTCTTCCCCCCAGCCCGGACCCCACCCACCATTGACTTTTCCATCACATCCAACAACGCCAATATCAAACCCGCTGTCAGGGCTCCCGGGTATGACCAGAGGTGTGTGACTGACGCAGGGAAACGCAGACTTCAGATATGTTATAAACAATATAATTTATTGACACTAACAATACAAACATAAACGCAGTGCAATACTAAAACATAACACAGTGCAAACGAACCAAACCAAACCACCCACAGATAACCGTACATACAATGCAAGCGTCGTCAGGCAGGCCGGGTCAATATCAATCGGGCAGGTAGGTACAGGGGGAGCAAGCGGAGAATGGTCGGGGTCACAAGCCAGGTTCAGCAGGTAGCGGGCAGCGTGGTACAGAGGGTCAGGCAGAGGGATGATCAGGAACGAGCCGGGGTCAGAGCAGGAGAAGTCAGCAGAGGTCAGATCAGGCAGGGTCAGCAACAAGACAGGAACAGGATGCAGGAACAGGATACAGGGCCCAGGAAAAAACACACACCAAGGCAGAGTCTGCAGGTCTGGCCATCCCTTAAATACACCAGTATAATCAGTTCCAGGTGTTTGACTGGCTGCAAGGTTGAGTCTCTGATTGCTGGGAGCACCCGCTGGCCAGCCCTGGTACTGCAGCTCATAAGGCAGGTGAGTCCCACCATTGCTGGCCAGTCCATTCCTGACAGTACCCCCCCCCTCAAGGAGCGGCCTCAGGACGCTCCAAACAGTCCTAGCTGGGCAAAATGTTCCACCGCCCGGGTCTGGTAACTGGCGGGATATCAAAGACTGGCACACCGGGCAGGACTCCGGGCAGCGGCACACCGGGCAAGGGCACACCGGGCAGAGGCACATCGGGCAGAGGCACACCGGGCAGAGGCACATCGGGCTGGACTCCGGGCAGAGGCACATCGGGCTGGACTCCGGGCAGAGGCACATCGGATTACCAGGCGGGGCGACAGGCATCGGGCCCCCAGGCAGAGCGGCGGGCGCCGGGCCCCCAGGCGGGGCGACAGGCATCGGGTCCCCAGGCGGAGAGGCGGGCGCCGGACCCCCAGGCGGAGCGACAGGTCTCGGGCCCCCAGGCGGAGCGGCGGGCGCCGGACCCCCCAGGCAGAGCGACAGGTCTCGGGCCCCCAGGCGGAGCGGCGGGCGCCGGACCCCAAGGCGGAGCGACAGGTCTTGGGCCCCCAGGCGGAGCGACAGGTCTCAGGCCCCCAGGCGGAGCGACAGGTCTCAGGCCCCCAGGCGGAGCGCCAGGTCTCAGGCCCCCAGGCGGAGCGACAGGTCTCAGGCCCCCAGGGAGCGGAGCGACAGGTCTCAGGCCCCCAGGCGGAGCAACAGGTCTCAGGCCCCCAGGCGGAGTGGCGGGCGCCGGACCCCCAGGCACGACAGTGGGCTCCGAGTCAACTGGCATGACTGCTGGCACTGGGTCAGACATTGGATCGTCTGGCTGGACAGCGGGCATCGGGTCACCAGGCATCAGGTCATCTGGCTCGACAGCGGGCACCGCGTCATCTGGCAAGGCAGTGGGCTCCGAGTCAACTGGTATGACCGCGGGCACTGGGTCAGACATTGGATCGTCTGGCTGGACAGCGGGCATCGGGTCACCAGGCATCAGGTCATTTGGCTCAACAGCGGGCACCGCGTCATCTGGCAAGACAGTGGGCACCAAGTCACCAGGCATGACAGTGGGCTCTGAGTCAATTGGCACGACAGCGGGCACCGGGTCATCAGGTAACGGATTGTCTGGCTCGACAGCGGGCATCGGGTCACCAGGTATGGCATGACAGCAGGCACTGGGTCACCAGGCATCAGGTCATTTGGCTTGCCAGCGGGCACCGCGTCATCTGGCAAGGCAGTGGGCACCGGGTCACCAGGCATTGGATCGTCTGGCTCAACAGCGGGCATCAGGTCACCAGGTATGACAGCGGGCACTGGGTCACCAGGCATCAGGTCATTTGGCTCGCCAGCGGGCACCACGTCATCTGGCAAGGCAGTGGGCTCCGAGTCAACTGGTATGACCGCGGGCACTGGGTCAGACATTGGATCGTCTGGCTGGACAGCGGGCATCGGGTCACCAGGCATCAGGCTGAGTAGAGGCATCAGGCTGAGTAGAGGCATCAGGCTGAAGAGAGGCATCAGGCTGAAGACAGGCATCGGGCTGGGTACAGGCATCGGGCTGGGTACAGGCATCAGGCTGGGTACAGGCATCAGGCTGGGTACAGACCTCAGGCTGAAGTGCGGGTGCCGAGGCACCAGGCTGAACCATGGAAGGCAGGTTCTCAGACGGCAGGCTCACCGGTTTGGATACTGGCAGGATGGTACTGGTTGGAAAGAATTTTCGCTTTTTTCTGGTTTTAACTACTGGAGCACTGCAAGTAAACGCAGGTCTGCAAACGAATGGAGCAGCTGGAGACAGAGAAGAGCTGGAGGATGGAACAGAGGAAGGAGCAGTTGCTACAGAGGGCTTTTTTACAGGGTTAAAGGCAGGATAGGTGCAGCGAGTGGGAACAGGGTACTGACATGCGGTAGATAGCAGGGCAGGAGGAGCTGTTGGGAATGCAGGAATAGAGCTTTGAGGAAATAGATTAGAAGCAGGACTGGGTTTTTGTAGGCTGACTGAGGCTGGGTGCAACAAATCTGTCCATGTCTGCAGTATGGGTTGAACAAAGCTGAGCTTACACAAAGCCTGTCTGACCAAAGACTGCACTGCGTTTATACAATCTCTTAGTACCTGTGGTGAACATGCAGCATAATGCTCCAGAAAGTAATCCACATCATCCTCTAATAACCATACCAGGGACTCTACCTGGTCGGCACTAAATGGCGGCAAAAATTCATCCCTGCATTCGGGGGTACCAGATGAAACCAACTCCGCACAACTCTGAATCAATGGCTGCACCTCAGAGAATTCTGTGCCCTGATCTACTAGAACATGAGCGAGCCGTATACATTCTAGAAGTTCATCCCGGGGATACTCCTTTAGAGTTTGATAAGCATACTCTCTGTCATCAAACACTAGCAGATATAAATACACAACCTCATCAAGATCCATCCTTCCCATCAACAAACCAAGATGGCTTCCCTGTGCAGCCACTTCTGGTCAGGATTGGCCCTGGTGTAATGTCAGGGCTCCCAGGGTATGACCAGAGGTGTGTGACTGACGCAGGGAAACGCAGACTTCAGATATGTTATAAACAATATAATTTATTGACACTAACAATACAAACATAAACGCAGTGCAATACTAAAACATAACACAGTGCAAACGAACCAAACCAAACCACCCACAGATAACAGTACATACAATGCAAGCGTCGTCAGGCAGGCCGGGTCAATCGGGCAGGTAGGTACAGGGGGAGCAAGCGGAGAATGGTCGGGGTCACAAGCCAGGTTCAGCAGGTAGCGGGCAGCGTGGTACAGAGGGTCAGGCAGAGGGATGGTCAGGAACGAGCCGGGGTCAGAGCAGGAGAAGTCAGCAGAGGTCAGATCAGGCAGGGTCAGCAACAAGACAGGAACAGGATGCAGGAACAGGATACAGGGCCCAGGAAAAACACACACCAAGGCAGAGTCTGCAGGTCTGGCCATCCCTTAAATACACCAGTATATTCAGTTCCAGGTGTTTGACTGGCTGCAAGGTTGAGTCTCTGATTGCTGGGAGCACCCGCTGGCCAGCCCTGGTACTGCAGCTCATAAGGCAGGTGAGTCCCACCATTGCTGGCCAGTCCATTCCTGACACCCGCTCTGCAGGCCAGAGTACTTGGTGTCATTCTGGACTCCAACCTATCCTTCCAGCCCCAAGTCCAATCTTTAACAAACTCGTGTAGACTCCACCTTCGCAACATTGCCAAAATACGCGCGTTCCTAACCCCAGAAACCACTAAACAGCTCATCCACTCCCTCATCGTATCACGACTCGACTACTGCAACTCCCTCCTCACTGGCCTGCCTCGCCGCTGGCTATCCCCACTTCAGTCGATCCTGAATACGGCTGCCAGACTCATTCACCTTTCCAACTGCTCCGTTTCCGCCACCCCCCTCTGCCAATCCCTCCACTGGCTTCCGATTGCGCAACGCATCAAATTCAAAATCCTAACATTGACGTACAAAGCCGTCCACCATACTGCCCCGAACTACATCACTGACCTAATATCCAAGTACCGCCCAGCACGCACACTCCGCTCCTCACAAGACCTCCTTCTCTCTAGTTCCCTGGTCTCCTCCTCCCATGCCCGCCTCCAGGACTTCTCCAGGGTGTCACCCATCCTCTGGAACTCCCTGCCCCAACCCATCAGATCACCTACTCTCCTCTCCTTTAGGCGCACCCTGAAAACCCATCTCTTCAGGGAAGCCTACCCTACCCCCTGCTAACTTGACCGACCTCCTCCACTCTTCCTACCACTCCATCCCCCACAGCTATCTCCTCCTGTGCCACCATCCCCTCCCTCCTAGATTGTAAGCTCGAAAGAGCAGGGCCCTCAATCCCCTCATGTTTTTCATTGTATTGGTATTGTTCTGTCACATGTTCTGTCCCCCTTTGTAATGTACAGCGCTGAGCAAACTATTGGCACTTTATAAATACTGTATAATAATAATAATACAGTGATCAGTGCTAATAAAAAGCACTGACACTGTATTAATAAGACTGGGCAGGAAGGGGTTAACTTTTGGGCAATCACTCCACTCCAAAAGCTAATCCTTAAAACGTAGATGATAGTGTGATTTAAAAAAAGTATCACAGACAGTACCACATTTTTCTTTTTGCAATTGCACTAATATGGCTACAATCACCTAAAGCAATCACATTGCTACTGTTCTTTGCTTGGTGTGCATTTAAAACGTGAAACAATTATACTGATGTCTAAAACCAATACAGCCCCTTCTTCTTTCTATGCATGAGTGTCCTAAGAACTTATCTGGTCTATATTTTTTCTTTTAAATACAATTTCTGTGATATAATGTGTATAAACATGTATTATGAGGTATACATACAAAGGTAAACTTTGTATGTAAGGCAAACTGCCTTCAGTTTCTAAACAGAGAATCAGAGCACACAGGAACACTGTGTGAATGCTGGACACTGTACAATTCCATTCTATATAGTCATACAAAGGATTAAACAATCTAAAGGTCTAAACAAATACAATCATTGTGGATGACTAGCTGTAAACGTGTGTGCAAGTATCAGATCAGAGGACAATTGTTGGATGAATGGGTAATCGGACCAGGTGGGAAAATCAATGAATTTGTCAGGTTTTGGAGCTGCCTACCAACAAAATATGATCAATGAATGGTAAAAGAGCGGGTAAGGGGGATGAACAAAGCAAACAAAGCTGTTGGTAACGCATTGCTCTTTTATGTGTATAGCTAAAAATAAAAATAATTGACTGTCACTCTCTGTTACATGGATGAAAGTGGTCACACCAACATAAAGTGAGGGAGATCTTCCCACTTGGAACACCAAAGCAAAAAAATCTGATTCTTTAGCAGGAATTGCTCTTCCATATAATGGAAATTGGAAGTGTGAGTGGTGGTATAAGTGTGAATATCCTCTTTCCAGGTGTGAATATCCTCTTTGTGTGCTTTTATTTAAGTGACAGAATGGCTTTAATTAATACTTCACCCATGAATGGGTATTAATAGAAGGGTAGTTTTGTAATGCCATATTACTGATAGCAAATGCCATATTACTGATAGCAAACATCCTGAATCTAAAACACTGACACAGAGACGTGTTTAATCAGCTGCCTTTGGGTTCAAGATATATTAACTATATAAATACAACAGCTATATTTATTTTAGCTGCAGATTAGTGCAAAGGATAAGCATTCCACCATCCCACAAAAAGTCGTGTTTGGAAATACCTAATCTGACTTTAGAATTATGAACATAATGTAATTCAGAAACTTTGGAGTTAAAGTGTTACTAAAGTGTGTCTTTGTTTTTATTAAAATAACAAAAATGTTATACTCACCTGGTCTGTGCAATGGTATTGCACAGAGTGGCCCTGATCCTCCTTTTCTCAGGTTCCCAGCCAGCAATCTTGGTTCCTCTTCTTCTTTGTGTGTCCCCATAGGAAGCCGTCTGCTATGGGGGCACACAATGTGTGCTCACTCTTGACCTGTGTGTCTATAGAGCCGCGTTCCATAGACAGACAAAGCAGGACTTACCCTGCCCCTTACACCCTCTTCACTGCATTTGAATGACAGCAGCAAGAGCAAATGGCTCCTGCTGCTGCTCAAGTCCCTGTGTGAGGTGGAAGAGAGGAAGAAAAGATGCAGCTATGCTGAGTGTTGAACTCTTCTCCCTCTCCTCCCCTTCACACAGGGAAGGGGAGCATAGGGAAACCAAAAACTTTTTTACCTTCACACTAGCAATGCTTTAAGCTAAAACATGTTTTTAGGTTTAGTATCAATTTAAGTTTTTAGGCCTTCTTTAATCTCTTGCCCTCCAGAGGATTTACTCATTTCCTGACTAGGCCATTTTTTTTGCTACGGCGCTGCGTTATTTTAACTGACAATTGCGTGGTCAAATGAAATTTATGTTCTTTTTTTCCCCACAAATAGAGCTTTCTTTTGGTGGTATTTGATCACCAGTGCATTTTTTTATTTTTTTGCGCTATAAACAAAAA